GATCCCATGACAACACAACTAAACCCCCTGAGGGGAGGGAGGCATGCCTTTCCTGCCAGAGAAGTACAAAATAATCCCCTTTTCAATTATTGACTCTCTCAGCTACACAAACACTACATGTGAATGGCCCACTTGGAGCAAATTCTGGAGAGCCATGATCAAACTGAAGTGGAAAGACCCAGCTTTTTAAGGACATACACACAGAAACTAGCAAAGGAGGAGAGATTAGGTGACCTTGGAAAGATGAGGACAGGTCCTCAAGAGACATGCCTGCTTGCTAACTCTCCACTGGCAGGTTTCAGGACCAATGAGTTAATTCATTGGGCTGGAACCAGTGTCCAGCAGCCAGAAGTCACTGTATCACACAGTGTCCCCTGGCACCCCAATCTGCATGCTCTGAGTAGAGGGCAAGGGCTCCAGGTAACAAGCAGGTGCCTGTGGGTCCCTTTGCCATTCTCCTTCCCAATCCTTGTCTTTGGCCTGGTGAGACCCTGCAGATCCCCCCCCAGCCCCAGCAATGTCGACCAGGGGTTGCTCCCTCTACAGGAGCAAAATGCTCTCAGGACAGATTGTTTGGGAGGGCTGTTCTTGGTGCCAGAAGGTGCAGACAGCTTCATCACTTTGTCAAGCCAATTTTAAGAGGATAAAATTGGCTTTCTCTCCCATGTTGGTTTCAGTAGCCTACTGACCAGATGTCTTCTTCATGACACAGCTTTAAATCTGGTGTTTGCAGCAAGCCAGTGCCAAGCTGAGGCTCCCACCAAACTTGCCATATTGCAGGAGCCCACATCAGGCAGTGCAACTTGCAGCATCCAGACCTCTCCGAGGTAAGGGATCCCTGAATCAGCTTCCATCTGCACCCTTAGCTCTCACCCCTGCTTTCTTGGTTAGAGGTTGGGAGCCCTTGTCTGCAGCCTCATTTAGTTTGGGAGAATCATGAAAGCAGCACTCCCAAGTCTATGGAGGGAGGAGGGCCCAAGCTGCCCTGGGAAGAAGGACCCCAGGCAGAGGGGCCATGTCCCCTTTCTTTGGGGACAAGGGAAGTGGGTGACTTAGGGGTTCCCATGGGCTGCCGCTGGAGCTAACACCAGCACTGAGCAATGCAGCGCCTCGGGGTGTGGTGGGGTGCCTGTGCCAGGGCTGGCAGGCAGGCTGCTGCTGGTGAGCTGCCACTGGGATCACTGCTGGCAACAGGGCTGCCTGATGCAGCGGGAACATGGGCTCCACAGGTCATGGAGAGAAAGTCCTCCCATGCCCCTGTGTACAGCAGGCTCCACCGAGCTGCTCCGAATAGATGCAAATGGTATTTCCTTCAAAGAAACAGTGAGTCAACAGGACAACTTATCTACAGTCCAGCAGAGACCCCTGTTTTGACCTTAGCTCAAATATTCCAGTGGATGGTGTTTTCAAAGCTATCAAACAAAGGTTTTCTAAATCATGCTGACGTGGGACCTTTCTAAGAAGATGGCTGCAAGAGGACTTCTGAGCAGATACAGGTTGGAAGCAGAGCTGAAGACAACAACCAGTGGTTGCACTCCAGAGAGGCAGAGGAGGAGCGGGCACCATGCAGGACTCAAGGGAGGAGAACGAAGGCATGAGCCAGCTCTCTGGGAGCAGCAAAGGTTGGCTGCTTCCCACAGGCAAGCAAGTCAGAAGCCAAGGGTGAACCCCAAGGAGGCAATGCCCTTGCTGGTGGAGCTCCGTCCTGCCAGGTCGTTTCTTGTAATGAGGGGTCCAAAACAAGACACAGTGCTCTGAGGAGCCTGACTTTGTCTGCTCTCCAGCCTCCCACCAGGTAGCTGTAGGCAGCAACAAGGTCCCATCTCAGCCTTCCCTTCTCCAGGCTGAACGAGCCCATCTTTGCCAGTCTGTCCACATACGTCATGTGCTCCTGCCTCAACTGTCTTGGTGGTCTTAGCTGGACCCCTGGAGTTGTAGTCGCTGTTGTGTACAGGGGAGCCCCACACAGGACAGAGCACGCCAGCTGTCGTCTCACACGTGGAAGTGAGTAATCCCTTCCCTCACCCTCCTGGCTGCATTTTTCCAGATGCAGCCCAGGATACAGCAATAAACAGATCTGTGCCACAACTGTGGCTTTTTCGATATCAAACATATACTGAGCAGGAGCTGTGCCCCAGGACACAGATGGGGTTTCAGAGAAATCCCCTCTATATGGCCTTCCCCTTGCCTGCTTTGCACATCCTAACCCAAACACCATCCACAGCCTCCTGGAAAAGCTGGCCAGGGACTGGAAGCTGTTGGCGAAGCTCTGCTGAGTGTTGCTGCCTGCCTTTGCTTGCATCTGCTGTTGAGCAGAAGCAGCAACACAGCAGGGCATGCACAGGAGCCTCCATGATGAGGCAGCCATGCTGCAAGCAAACAGCCTGTGACAAAATCCCAGCCTGCTCCTCCGCAGGCTCTGGCCACCTTGTGCTGTCCACCACAAGGTGGATGCTGGGGTACAGGAGTCCTCATAACTCAGAATACTGCGGGTATCAATCCCTAGGAAAAGGATGGCCTGGCATTTTCTGTAAGAAATCTATGGTGTAAGCACTCCTCGTAGCAGAGAGGGGCTTGAAGTGAGACCATTTTACATCAGTGTCACGTCACGATTCCCGAAACTCCCTTGTGACTGCTGCAAGGGCTGTGCTGCCAGGGGAGACCACAGTGCATGTTGCACAAGAAGCAGCATGGTGGTGGCAGGCCAGGCACGTCAGGAGGCACCTGGAGCGGCACTTTCTGAAGTTCGGTGCACAATTTGCCAGGAACACTAGAGTACCTCTTCCCTGAAGGGTCTGATGGGGTCCCCAGCGGCTGTTGGGCTCTGGAGAGAGTGATTTACGCCTGATGTTTGATTTCCATCCAGGAGGGGGAATGTCATCTGGGTATTTACTTATGAGTTGAAATGTGCAGAGGTGCCCAGAGGATGCCGTTCCCTGGGGAAACCCTGCTGGGGCAGGGGGGCAGCCAGGCACTGTAAATCGCTGTTGTTTTAAGGCATTTGCTTATTGGCACCAAATTATTTGCTTTGCCTCTGAAGAAAGCTCTTCACCTTTGTGAGACACAGGCTTCATTGATTGAGGACATATCACTTAATGATGAAGAGCAAATAAGCCGTAAACCACTAGTTCTGTTGCCAACCAGAGGACAAGTGCTGTGGTTTGGGTCTCGTGCCTCCACCCCCTCACCTGCTGAGCCCTATAACTTTCGGGCTGGACACCCCTCCAGCCAGGCCAAACCTGCTCGGCTTCCCACTCCGCAGGGTCCCTGCAGAAACGGCATGGGTGAGTGTGGGATGGGATGGGAGGGGACGGCACCGCTGCGTGTGGCTGCAGGTCACAGGGCATCCCGGCACTTTGTCTTCTGCAGGGCTCTCTTCTCCCCACACCCCAGTCATCCCAGCACTAAGTCCATTACATTGTCCGGACTCACTGTGCCCTGGGCTGGGAACTGGAGCAGACGTCTACATGTTCTGCTATTTTCAGGCAGTATCAGTGTAGCCCTGGAGTGCCAGATAGCCCATTTTACAAGCCTTATATTTACCAAACAGTCTTTGTAATTTTCAGTTCTCCAAGGAAAGTATTAAATACCCTAGAATAGAAAACAGATTTTTTAGATATTCTTGCTTAAGGAGCAATATTGAACAGGTTAGATGGAGGTTAGATGCTCGAAAGCACACTGCTATCCCCAGAAGAACACCCAGGAGAGGTTGATCCTCTCCCCTGCATCTCCTTCCTACCCAGCCCTTTGACGGCCATTCATGGGGGAATGGGCCAGCAGTGGAGGGAGCATTGCTTCTCTGGTGGTCTAAAGAAGAGATGTCTTTAAACATGCCTCTAAACAGAAGTGCATCAGGACACTAAATATTATGTAGGAATTGAGAAGCAAATCAGTTGGACTGAAGTGTGTTTAAAAGGCCTTTGCTGTAAAACTGTAACCAGCACAAATGATTGGGACGGCTCTGAGCATTCCCAGAAAGGGGTGCTTATCTCTAGGGTGGCTGCAATTGCACAGAGCGCTTCCAGGCCGGCATCATTGATCATCTTCCTTCTCAGCCATCTTAGGGAATGGTGCCAAACCCAGGTATCCCAGGGCCGTGCAATAGGTTTGGCTCTGCTACTTTTCAAACAGTGGAGGGATCACGTTGGTAATCTGCCAGGACGAGCTACATCTATCATACCACGAACAGATTTCCCCATGAGCAGGTGTCTCCAGAATGCCCCACTCTCTAGGAATCATGATAAACTTTCTATTATTTTATTTCTAGTTACTATTTTAAAAAGTTACAATAGTAAATAGAAATACAGTAAAAAGTGTGCTGGTTTCCCCAGCTGCTCTGAACAAGAACAAACCAGAGCAGCTGGCTACATATGGAAATTTTGAAGTAGCCGTATAACCATATAAAGACATAATTTGCACCAGCCAGGCAGTAATTCTTGAAAGTTTGTGCTGCCCCTCCTCGTCATGCTGCTTTCATGCAGAGCAGAGAAATACACACAGCCCTGCCTGGGGCTTGTTCCTACCCAGACATCTGGGTTCTTACTGCCCACAAACCTGGACTGGAGGCAGGTGCAGTCCCAGCTTACGCCATGTGAGTGTGTCGCGAGAGCGTGATGGGAGCTGGGAGGAAAGGGGATTTCTCCCTCCATGCTCACCCTTGTTATCTCCAGCTCCGAGACTTGGTTTTTATGGGGATTTCTGATTACAGTTACTTTGGGTTTGGACAAGGTTTTCACACTTTTTCTGTCTCAAAAACCACCAACAGCAGGTGCCACCACTAATGACTCCTGACAATGAGTATATGACAGTTCATCTAAATGGGTGAATTGGGGCTATGGAGTCAAACCATGACAGGCTCCAAGAGGGAGCTCTACACATAAAGAATTTTATTTTCCTATTTTACTCTGCCTCTGCAAGTAAAGGAATCAAATGGGATTCATGGCTTTCTACTAGAAGAGTTATGATCTCTTTCTTCTTTTTCCAATCTCTTCCCATTTCAGCTACCCAGCGCCTTTGTGTCCTGCTTTTCACCTGCCTTCTGGCCCTGGCAGCATCTCTTCCTGCCTTTGACATAAAAAACTTGCATCTCCTCAATGGCACGCTGGATGAAATTATGAATGTTCCCCCAGAGTCCTCCCAGCTCGGTAAGTATACCACTACAATAGGGAGAGACAAACAAGGTCACGTTCAGTCAGATCCTACACAGACCTCCTCACCAGCCTAACCACACCCCGGTGACACAGGGGAAGGGCTAAATACTGCTCTATGTGTGGGCAATGCCAAGGCAATGTAGGCTGTCTTACTGGAAGAAGAGTCATCTCAGAGTCCTCCCCTGCTTGCTGCCTGTCTCTTCTCCTGTCTGGCATGAAGTTCTGCCCATAAGTGAGTCCAATAGTCCAAAGCCCCAGAGTTCACAGGATCCCAGGAGAAGGGCAGTTTTGGTCTCATTGGCGGCAAGACGAAGCCAAGGGTGTTGTGGGCCATGGGCTCTTCCTTGGAGAAGCAGTGTTAAAGATGTTAAGGCAAACAATCACAGTGTTTTGAGGACATGGAGAATAGTAGCCACCTCTGTAAATCACAAGATCAGTGGAGAACTGAATTCAAGAGAGAAATGAATACAAAGAGGAACTGAGTGAAGTCAATACAAAGAGTCTAAGCGGTGGCACTGACAGAGAGCAATCAGCCAGATGATGGCACAGAGTAACCTACAAATACCAGGGTATACTGGAGCAATGAGGAAGCCTCCAAGAAATGCTCCTGGAATAGAACTGGGGGCTGTGGGTGGGACATGATGCGACAGAAAGAGCTGGTTCCCTTCTAAGGGAGGAGGAAGAGTTCTTGGCAGAAGAGCTCAAGGTCCAAGTGTTTGATGCTGGCTTCACATCAGCCTTCACTGCAAAGGTCAGTTGTCAGGAAACTGCCAACACAGGGAGCACCCATGACTGAGACAAGAGCTTGCGCTTCACCAAGAACTGCAAGTCTGAGTAGAGAAAGAAAGTAGGGTGTGCTCTGGGCTTCACATTCTCTCACCCAGACCATTGGTAGGGTGCTCTGAAAACATGAGCAGCATGAATGCAAGATGGGTAAGCAGGGAGGCATGCCAGAGAAGACAGGCTAACATTCGAAAGTCTTGCCTTGTGGAGGAGTGCTTCCAAATGGATGGGAAGTGAAGGCAGAAAGGAGCAGGGGCAGACTGTGGCTTACAAAACAAACATGAGTGAACAGCTTCATATGACTGCAGTAAAAGAAATACCATAGTAGGAAAGTCCTCTAGACCACATTACATGAGTGTTTCCCGCTCCACACAGGCTCAGGCCAACCACCGTGTTCACTGGTTGGCTTTGAGACACGTTTGGAGAGAGTCAAAAGGAAAGGGGTCAAAAATCTGGCAGGCAGACTGTGTCAGGGAAGGCTGAAGGACTGAATGGTTTAGCCCCAAAATCAGAAGACCATGGAGGAGGAAGTGATAGCAATATTACAGTCTGTCTGCAGGAAAAAGTGTACTCTGGGTGTAGTAAGAGAAGGAATGGGCTTATACACAGTGCAAGAGGCTTAAGTTAAACGATTCATAAAGGAGGGGATAGGAAAGCACCATCTGAGAGTGAAAGCAGGGAGCAGATATTTGAGGATGTCAGAGAGCAGCGGCTGCAGGGTTAGGCGTCTGTTTCAGAGAGGGGACAGGAATGGCTTTTGTGATTCCATAAGCCTGTGATTCATTCTTCTGTTTTATAGCTGTCAGTGGATCTACAGAAGATGTCCTTGCAAAAGAATTGCATTAATTCACTCTAAACCATCCTCTCTTCCAGCAAACCCTTCAAATTCCCTTCTGACCCAGCTGAGCAGAGCCCCTCTCCCAATTCCTGATACTTGCACCAGTTTTCTTGTGTCTTCTCTCACATTTCTTCCCCCTCTAATCCCTCTTCTTCCTGAGTCCCTTCCTAACTGCTTCTGCTGCACTTTAACAACCGTCTTTCCAGTGTTGCCACCACCATTCGGGGACTTTTCCCAACAGAGTGTGACCAATTCCTTCTCACCGAGGAAGCATCTGTCCCATTCTAACACTACGTAAATTCCCCCAAACTACCAACTGGCTGATATCTGAAATGGTAAAGTCCCTCTGGAATTAGGAACAAAAACAGAAAAACAGGAATATCATCTGGAGAAGATCATGCTCTCCCAGCAGGCATTTGACATGTCTACTCTCAACACTCACTCCTGTCTCCTCTGTTCTTGTGAATTCAGATAATGGTGACAAACATGTTCGACAGGTCAGAGACATCGCCCCGCACCCACCGGCAGGCCACGGTAAGTCTCTTCTCAAGGAGTACATCTACTCATAAGGTTTCACCATTGCTGGGCTCATGAAGAGCTCTCAGCCACCTTAGCCCATGTCCTACATGTGCACTGGCTCCTCCCAGGAAAAATGTTGATTTTCTGATGGGCTGCAGAGGTGCCACAGTTCATAACCTCAGGGAGACTCTATTACTAGTCATGTCCTGGACTCAGTAGTTGATGAGGATCTTTAGCATGAGGAATTTTCCACCTGAAGATCCAAACTGGAAAGTGGTGATTCGTTATTGGCCTTTGGGAAGTGGTGATTGGTTATTTTCCTATTTTCACTATACAGTTGAAGAGGAGACTGGGTAAGACAGGGACTGACTGTGTTACTGAACTGACTGAGTCAACATTAGCCCATAGGACCACAAGATAGGTCTTAATCTGGGTAGGAATAACCAGTAGCAGAGGTACTGGGAGCAGACTAAGTCCCTTCCCAGAAGTGTGTAGGTGCATTCAGCTGTTTGTTGTATAAGGGGCTGACACTCTGGAGCACAGAAAGATCATCATCAAATCAAACAAGTCAGGAAGTGTCTAAAGAGCTACTTGGGTAGGCCCAGAGAAAACCAATGGATTTGCCCTATTGAGATCACAAGGGCTGATTTAACTATTAGCAATATGGTTGTCTTGATCACACTCTCTCCAGGGTTTCTGAGGTTACTATAAAGCTCTAAAGCCTCCATGCTGTAACAGCAAATGGCTTTTTAACCCAGATTTGCAGTTGTCTGTGTGGTAATACATCACCTGCATGCTACAGGCAAATCACCACAGCACTGCAAGACTCAATCCAACCTGGGCTAGGGTGCGTCGTGTGCTGGGTGAAGGCAATGTCTGGCTTGGTCCCACCAGGCCAAGATATTTTAGCAGTGTGTCCCCATCAGTTTGAAACCTGTCTTGGAAATATATGAAGCCCAACTCTTACACTGATCATTTCAAGACTTTGATTTACTCCTGTGAGCACATGGCAGGAATACAGCCCAAGAATGTCTGTGCAGTAGGATATAGGCACTAAAGAAACATCAGGTGCTTTCAGTTTGTGTGGGATTTAATAACCATCTCTCTTTCCTGCCCCAGGTTGGCCCAAGGACTGCAGCGAGATGCCTGCTGGCAGCCGCAGCGGTGTCTACATCATCCAGCCAAAAGGGCTCCACCACCTCGTGGTGTACTGTGAAATGAATGTGACAAACGGGGGCTGGACGGTCATCCAGAGGAACCAGAAAGACACACCGGTCACCTGGGCCGAGTCCTGGAGCACCTACAAGTACGGCTTTGGGAACGTGCGTAGCGAGTACTGGCTGGGCACTGAGTACATCTATCAGATTGCCAAGCAGAAGGTCTACCAGGTCAGGTTTGTCATCCAGGACTCCACAGACAACACCAATTTCGCAGACTACAACCTCTTCAGCCTGGAAGATGAGTCCCACGGCTACCGGCTGAGGCTGGGCTCCTACACAGGGACGGCGGGGGATGCCATGACCTCAAACAATCCCAACACCATGCATGACAACATGAAGTTCTCCACAAAGGATCGGGATCAGGACACTTACAGTAAGAACTGTGCCTACAGCTATGAGGGCGGGTGGTGGTACTCGGCGTGTTATTCTGTACGGCTGAATTTCAAGGGTGGAATGACATGGGGCAGCCTGTGCAAAGGGAACTGCAAATCCTCCCTTATCCTCATCAAACCAGCTCCGTATTGTTAGTGCTTCTTCCCCCTCCTGTCCACACGGGACACTCTGTGAAGGCTCTGCATGGCCAAAGAGCTTGAGCCTTTCTGGAGCAGAGAGGGGAGCTCAAGGGTAGTAGGGTTTTAGTGAAATGCCACTTTCCATTTCCCCTCTCTGAGTGCAGGCTCCCCCCGCTCAGCTCTTTTCCCCTGTGCTTGCCAATGATTCCTTGTTATGATGTTCATAATCAAGAATAAAAAAAATCACTTGTGAAATTTGTGGATTCCACATGTACCTTCCCTGCGGGAGGAAGACACTCAGCCCTGGAGTGACTTTTCACCAGTTTCTTAGCTGTCTCCAGAACTCACAGCAAGCAAAAGAGCTACATGCCACAAATTTCCATATACTCTGTGCCTCTCTGCAGTGTCTGGTAAAGCATTCCAATAAATTTGCTTCCTTGAGCTCATTCTCCACTAATGAATGTCTGTTCTGAATCTCTGATGTGCTCGCACTGAGACCCAAGAAATCCCATGTCAGGTGCTAGGACTGGAGTCTTGGGGCTTATGGAGGGAAAAAGCCTTGAGTGGTTCTCACAGGAATGGATGTAAGAAAATTAAATCTAGTTACACTGAGATAAAAGACCTGTGATCTGCACAGGAGTGTTCAGAAGGGACCTGTCATGTGGGAGAACTCTTCCCATATCATCACCACGTTTACAGTCCAGGGTCAAAAGCTTTGGCAATGTCCTGGTGCCAAGGTCCCACTCCTGCTGGGAGGCTGCGTCTGTCAGGATTTGTTCCTCGCTACCTGTCTGTCTGCACAGTCATGCTTTGATCATGCAGAAACGTGATTTCAAAGTCATCAGTAGATCTGTCTGCTGTGACCGAGAAGCAGTGAACTTAAATGGAAGCAAAAGGTAAGTAGGTTAGGTGTTGGGAAGCACTTGAATTAGGAGACACTAATGAGGGAAGAGCTCATTACAGGAATAAGCTCACCATACCCAAGTTTCTGAGACCAATTTAGATGAGACCAATTTAGATGAACCTTTGCCAGGAAAATTGCAGACAGAGCTGATGCTGTGAGGCTGCAGGACAAGGCCCCTAAAGCTCCTCCATCCCACAGCACTCTGCCAGGACAGACTGTTTGAGAAGCACTTTCACCCTCACAAACCATTTCTGGCTTTGTCTTGGGGCAGCACAGCACCAGCAGTGAGTTCCACTTCCAGGACCAACAGCTAAGGGAAAACCCAGCCCTTGCCTGCCAGCTGCAGAGCCCAGTGCCCACTGGGAGCCATCCAGAAAGGTCTGAGAAATTAGAAAATACTGAAAGAAGAGAGCAGTGGAGGATCTCCGAGCCAGAAAGTACCTTACACTGCTCCAGAGAACTGCCCTCAGCACTGCAGAGCATGGGGGGTACCTGCACCTAGGGACATCTGAGGAAAAAGAGAGCTCAGGCTTCTTCTACTGAAAGCAGCTCTCGGGTGAAGCAGGCCGCACTCGCTCTCCTGAGAGCCTCCAGCACCAAGCACTGAGCCCCCCCAGACCACAGCACAGAGGACTGGTGGGACCTCAGAATACAGCCCATGCCAGAATCTCCTGCTCTGGCTGGAGTCCCCACTTGGCCTTGGAAGGTGTCCCTTCAGGGATTCTGCAGTGTCAGATGGCTGTCTCCAGAGATGGGAGCATCTCCAGCCTTGGTGGTGAATTTGGCAACCCAAATTCAATGAGACATAGCCCTCTGCAGCCTGATCTGATTTTGGGATCAACTCTGCCATGCAGACGTTGGACTAGAAATCCCAGAAGTGCCTCTCCCAACACTAGTTACCCTCTAAGACAGAGAGGATCATTCACCCTGGGCAAAGGCCATGCCTGCCTCGCAATGTGCACCACAGCACGGGACGGGGGGGGCACAAGGCAGCTCCATGATGGACTTGACATTGGCTGGAAGAGAGGCTGTCCTGCGCCAGGGGCACGAGATGTTAGCACCAGGTGGAAGATGGCTGTCATGAAGGTGCCCCCACCCCACCCCTGGTGCCCTCAGAGTGGATTTGGCTTCCAAAATCAGCAGGTTCGATGACATCAGGTGGCACTGGGCAGACTGTGAAATGACACTGCTGCTGGGGGTTTCCAAGCGACAGGCAAAATTGGAGTTGCATTTGCACTACCAGACTAAGGAGCAAATGATCCTCATCCCAGCAGTGCTGCCTTCTGCTAGGGCTCTCCAAAGGCAATGGAGAGACACTGGCCAGGAGATGCAGGAGAACATCCTAAAATATCCTCACAGTACAACAGGGCTGGCACCCACCGGCCCAGGAGGATGGGCTCAGCGAGTGGATGTCTCTGCATTGCCGTCTTGTTCCTCCACCACAGCACGTCACAGTGTACAGACAGGTTCTCATCTCTCCTGCAACAGCACCAGCTCCACACAGCCCCTTATTCCAAGCTACCCATCCAAATGCTTCCTAAATCCTGCTGGGCTCTTGACCACCCAACAGCAGTGACCTCCAGCCCCCAGCAGCTCCCTGGCAGCTTCCCTTCACTCAGCTCCAGCAGCCAGTGTTGGTTTGAGGTGACACCTGAAGTCAAGCAGTGGACATCAAATGCTGTCTCCCACCAGATATTTGCTCTGTGGAAATGTCCTGGCCAGGACAGAGCAGTCCCCGCCCCAGCAGCACTGCATGGCTCTCCCTGCAGCTCTGGTTTTTCACTAAGGCAAAACTTCCCCAGGAAGCAATCCCCACCTCCCATGAGCTCCTGGTTTGCTACTTTTCCTCAGCTTCTCCACCACATCTTTACTTAAAGAGTAAGAACAGGGCAAAGATACAAGGCAAGTTTCCAGCACAGAGTTTCCAGCACAGAGATGACCTGAAGCGGAGCCGATGGTCCTCAGGCAGGTTTCTGCTCCCTGAATTTTTCTTTTAGGTCTCTGAATCCCTGCAAACATTTAGTGACCACAGCACCCCGCGGCGAGCAGTTCCCCACCACAAGTGGGGCAGCGCTCCCACCTCTCCCTTCCCCAAGGGACGAAGGGGACCTGCACGGAGCCGGCAGTGCAGGGTGCCTCATGGCTCTCGCCCTCCCCTCTCCTGAGCCGACGGGTACAGCGGTGCCAGGATCTCCACAGGATGCACACGTGCAGTGCCGTGAAGTACAGGGTGAGATCAATGCGGTGACAAGCGGGACGCACATAGTGTGGTGCAGTGCAGGATACGTGCACGGAGGTGCAGGATGCACACAGCAGCGTGCAAGCGCAGAGGGTGCACACAGCGGGGGAGCAGGCTGCACACAGCGGGGTGCAGTGCAGGATGCACACAGTGCGGTGCAGGGTACGCACGGCGAGGCGGAGCGCAGGATGCACGCAGCGGGGAGCAGGATGCACGCAGCGGGGTGCAGTGCCGGTTCACACACACCACACACCCCCCCCAGCCGGGGGCGGCGCCGTGCAGAACCGGAGCGCCTTGTGCTCAGCTGCGGCTCCTTTAAGACCG